TTGACAAAGTATTTATCCCTTACAAGATAGGGAACTGAAAGCAAGAATGTATTCCCATAGCTCTCTGTGGATACAAAAGATGGACTATTAGGAGAAAGAAAAGGTTTTGAAACAATGTATCACCTTATAAACCTAATGAATATGTGACTGAAAAGTCCCTGCCAAATAAACAGGACAGGGAAGATGGGAGAGTTGTCACGTGGAAGGCTGTGCTGCTGGTGTGAATGCAGAGATGGGGTTCGCTCAGTCTCCCGAGGAAAACGTACTTCCTGCGATTCTGTTGCATTCTGAAGTGGTCGGTTTGCCTGTTGGGTTGGGGGAAGTGCTCAGGTTGCCTGTGCTCAGCTGGCCGAGTACTTGGGGACACGTCAGGGTAGCAGTCGAGTATCAGCCTACTAGAAAAGGCGGGGCCTAGTGGAGGCGCTAACGCCTAGTTTTAAGTAGGCTCTTTTTAGCATAGATTTGCTAGTTTGCACATGTAAGGAGAGAAAAGAAGGTTACATTTAAAAGTATTACAGGTTTGGGGTCTGACATCGACCTTTTAATTGTCTGTTAATTAATAGATCACAGTTGAAAACTTCGGTGCAACTGAAGTGAAAGAGCTGGTTCCGAATGGTGCAGACACAGCCGTGAACAGACAGAACCGGTGAGTGGATGGCACGGCCTCAGTGGCAGGTAAGGGTTGGTGGGCATTGCCTAGTGTGCCTCGAAACCTGTCGCCGCTTAAAGAAGACAGTACGGTAGGTTGTGTGTGGTGGGGATGCCTTTATTCCCAGCACCTCAGCCTCGCGTCCAGCCAGGACTCCATGAGACCATGTCCCAAAACAGTCGGAAAACAAACAGAATTGAGTGTTTATTGGGAAAGTGATATATATGCCTTTGCTACTGAAATCCCCTTTAAGCTGTAAAGGAATAAAAAGATGATGAATGAAGGAACAAAGACAAATGACAGAGGCAATGGTGGCAGCTAATGAGCCACAGGGTGGGAAATCACCTTCAGGAGTACTTAACAGTTCTCAGTGATTTGATACAGTTTGAAATTATTGAGAGCCAGTTTTCCCCTCTCACTACAAATAGCCTAGGAATAATCAGGTTCTTTCTACATAGCCATGACTGTCCTGGGTTTGGTGTGGTTTTGGTTTGGTTTAGTTTAGTTTTCTCCCTAATGATAGTGTCCCTTTGAACTCTAACTTTTCTGATTTTAGTTGAAAAATAGCAAGAAGTGGAGGAGCAAAAATTTAATTGGACAGTATTAGGTATTCTCCATAAATGTGTGTGTAATCTGTGTATCTTGTGCCTTGGTTTCATTTCTAGGCAAGAGTTCGTCGATGCCTATGTGGATTACATATTCAATAAATCAGTGGCGTCTTTATTTGATGCATTCCATGCAGGCTTTCATAAGGTCTGTGGAGGAAAAGTCCTTCTGCTTTTTCAGCCTAATGAATTACAAGCTATGGTTATTGGGAATACAAACTACGACTGGAAAGAACTGGAGAAGGTAAGGAAAACCAGGCTTTACTTGTCAGAGTAAAACATGGCTTGTTGTTGGAAATCTGGCCTGTGCGCTGTTGTCCTTTGTGTAGCTCGTTGCTGTGGCTCTGAAGACACCCCTGCCCCTCCTACCCACAGTGCATTGAGTGTTGGATGGCACTGGTGGGGTGCTCAGCAAAGTGTTAGAGGAGCCCCCAACCAGTGTTGAGGAAGACTTTGGGTCCCTGTTTCCCTAGCAAATCTAGTGTTAAATTGGTGTGATAAGGTCGGCCCATTCCTGTAGGGAAGGGGCTACAAAAAAGACTTGTAGGAGACTGTAACGGGCCGTCTCAGAAACTGTCACACAACATTGCCACTGTTGCTCTTAGCCTTTTCATTTAAAAAAGAAAAAAAAAAAATAGTACAAACTGATTGATTTCTCTTCCTGGAAATAGTAAAAGAAACTTGTCTAAAATTCCATGTTGGTATTTTAATAATCCTTTCACACTGTTTGAATCTTTATTGATAGTGTTGCACAAACATTTCTGGTGATTTTAGATCTGTTCTCCCCTTGTCCTGGGAACTAGTAGCTTCAGATTATAAATACAGGATCGCAGTAGTTCCTACTCTTCGACCATGATAGGGTTTATGGGAGCCACTTTACTAGTTTAATGTATATTTCTTGTTGCTAAAAAAAGGTTGTGTTCTTTTTAGAATACAGAATACAAAGGGGAGTATTGGGCAGAACATCCCACGATAAAAATTTTTTGGGAAGTGTTTCATGAATTACCACTGGAAAAGAAGAAACAATTTCTATGTAAGTATTTCCAACCAGCTGCATATTCTGAGACAGGAATCTAATCGTTACAAATTGCAAAATATTAGCCCAGTTTTTAAAATTAGTTTTTGCTATTTTTTTAAAGATTGTTGTATCTGTGTGTTATGTATGCAAATGTCCTCAGAGGCCAGAAGAGGATGTTGGATCCCCTGGAGCTGTTGTTACAGGTGGTTGTGAACAGCCACCATATGGGTGCTGGGAACCTAACTTGGATCCTATGCTACAGGGCATGGCTTGATGTCTTTTTCTATTTCTTCCCATTCATAAAAATGGTCTAGGGTATTCCTCTCTGGAAACTCTCCCCACTTAAGAATGTATACTGCTTTTGCAAAGGCCCCTAAGACTCTGGAGTAAGATCTCAAATTCAAGGTCTGCTGGAAATAGAGTTGATGTCTGGGCGGTTGCCAAGATCCTGTTTCAAAGTAAAAGCAGAACCTGGGATCCGTATGGCAGGAGATAACTTCTGAAAGTTTTCATTTACACACACAAAAAGAACAAAACACTAATTTAACCAGTTCTCTAAATGGCTTTTCCAAAAAGGATTTATAAATGCTTTTGTCAATTCCAACATTGTTCACCAAGTATCTATTGAGTACTTCCTGTAAAAATAATTAGGGTCATATGGTGGGTGGATGTTCATGCAAAGCTGGGCTGTGGTCACTGGACTATTGTCTAAATCGTTTTTCTTGGCAGTATTTTTGACAGGTAGTGATCGCATTCCCATTCTTGGTATGAAGAGTTTGAAACTAGTCATCCAGTCAACAGGAGGTGGTGAGAGCTATCTCCCGGTTTCCCATACCTGTTTTAATCTTTTAGATCTCCCAAAATATACAGAAAAAGAAACTCTACGATGTAAACTGATTCAAGCTATTGATCATAATGAAGGCTTCAGTTTAATATAAACTTGGAGTTCTGACTGTTCTGTTTAGTGCAAAGGTATCAAACCACTTGTCTTTCTTGTGAATTCAGCATAGTGAGAAGCATTTGCAATTCTTACTTGCAAATTGTTCACTACTGTATTGATGAAAGCCAAATATTAAAGAAAAATTGAGCAACTGTTAATATTAAACTTATTGTACATAACCATGAATTGTCCCCATCCTCATAAACATACAAGTATTGTGAATACATTAAAGTTTTACTAACAGGAATTTTAAGAGTTTGCATATCCTGATGTGTGAGTGCATGTTGCTTAATGTTTCTTCAATCACTGGGTTAAAAAAAAAAACCAAAAAAACATTTAACTATGGCCTGCCTTTAGTCATTTATTTTTCCATTTTGTAAATAAAAGTTTTGTAATAAAATAGTAACATTCAGATACCAGTAGTTTCTATGGTTGTAATTGAACTGAGCTGAAGTTTAAGGGTTAAAAATTATGATTGTCTGACTCTATAAAAGCATGGTGGAAACAAATCTTTTTGCTACACTATATGTCCCTGCAGACCTAAATGTCAAGTATTAACTTGTAGCTGTGCTGGCTGGTGGGGCTGTCAAAATGTGTTGACGGTAAAAGTTGCCAAAAACAGAGCCAGTGGCCACAGAGAACCAATCACAGGTACAGCTTCAAAACTAGATCAAGTCTTTATTCTCAGTGCTTTAGAAAGTCTTAATGGTGCTGTTTAGTTATCTCTGTTAATAAGTTGTGAAACTGAGTTGATGCAATACATGTAACTCTGCTAGCCACAATGCAAATATTTATTTTTTAAATTTAAAAAATGCCTTGAAGAGCTTAAATAAAGACTATAATAGCTTAATATTTCAACTTCCAGTGGTTCTCAGATTCAAACTTAAGGAGTTTGTGTGTATTTTTATGTGCACCATATGGATGCAGGGAACTCCCAACCCTCCAGGCTAGAAGCAGGCTGTGGAGTCACAAGCTACTGATGAACAGTCTCCTGTAAGTTACAAATCCATCTCATTTTTCGGCCAACACTATTCAGTTGTTGAGGCTGTTCAAGCTATTCATTATATGGGAATCCCTCCCTAATGTTTGGATGGAGGGGTTGGGGATTTAGCTCAGTGGTAGAGCGCTTGCCTAGCAAGCACAAGGCAAGGATTCGATCCTCAGCTCCAAAAAAAAAAAAAAAAGTTTAGATGGTGTCTTCACATTGTCATGGTTCACTCTTCCCTGTAATGATGACATTTCCCTTTGAAGTTACTTAACTTTAACAGAGTTCCATTGAAGGCCAGCATGCTGACCTCCTGTGGTCTCAGGCATGCCCACCACACCTGGCAGAGTTCATTTCTTGCTTACATCTTTGTCTCTATGCCTTGTCTTGTTACTACTCTGGCTGTTTCTGGGGTCATTTGACAGCCTTTCCAAATTGAGGAAGGAGGGAAACCACATTCCAGCCATTAAACCGTTTCTCCACTTTAGCTCTGTCATCATTTGGTCCACACCGCCATTCTAGGGCTGTCATCCCACACTCCAGCTCATCTGCATGGCCAGCTTGAAACTGACTCGCAACAGTAAGTTGGTAACAGAGGTGGAAGGCATTCTGGTCAGATACCACCACCACCACCACGGTCTTAACACAAGGTAGTAGCAAATCTGAGAGTCAGGTTTATGTCCCCTAAGAACCATCTGCTACAACCAGTGTTAACAAGAGTAACCCTTATTGGGCTGGTAAGTTAACAGGAAGGAAAAAAAAAAGGTCAAATGACAATTTTAATATAAGACTTTAAAACAAGATACAAGTATAAAACACTGTATTTCAAAAGTTGGAGGAAGATAATCCAGTCATTAAACAGTCTACAAAACATATGCCGGATTACATAAAAGTCTATTTACAATATAAAAAGAGCTGAAAACAGTCTTCACTGTAAAAATAATTTAAAACAAATTTTTCAATTTAAAATATTGTCTACAGCACAAACACATCATGCAAATGGAAAACTAAATATACGGCATTCTTTAGTTAAGCCAAATTCAGATTGAGAGAGCTTTTTAGGTAAGGAAATGAGCTACTTAATTAGTTTTCTCCTCTGGCAGTAACGGTCCTAGCTGGGTATTTTATGCAGAAAGAACAGCTATATTTCAAAACTTTTTTTGGGGGGGGGGGTAATAAATACTAAACCAAACATGAATATTTTAAGTTTGGGGATAATGTTTCAAAGTCATCTGTAAAATAAGTACTGACTGCAGTTTCTTTGAGGTGTGAACTGTTTGAAAGGCTAAAAGCTTCTGCAGTTCAGAAAACTCATCACTAGTTTTAAGGCAAGCTAAGCTTTTAAATAAATAAGAACTAGTTTCATTGACTATCTGATTTGTATTCATCTCCATAATACAAGGCTAACACTTTGGGATACATTACACCAAATCCTCTCAACAGGAAACAATGTACTTTCTGGGTGAGTTACAGTTTATTACTTTGGAACTTATAATTAAGAGACTCGTTGCTTTCCTCATTAGTGGAAAAACAGCAGTTCAAAATAATACTCTCTCCCCAGTCTAAGTACCATTATTAGATTCAGAAAGGCTTTGCATGTTCACATCTTGGCAGTTTAATACTTGTGGTGAAGATCTACACAGGCTCTACCACAGTGATAGTTTAAATATTCGCTATTGTTCAACCTAAGGGGACCTATAGACAGGCACTATTGTTTCTAGAGCAACTGAAACATTTTCAAATCATTTATCAGGTTAGTCTCAGGGGCTTGTTTTGACATTACATCTGCAGCAGGTACAAAAGCCATCTTAAGCACTAAATATGCTTCAAACTCTGAGCACCAAATTTTGAGTGCTCCCCACACATGGTGATTTCCTTCTCACATTATAAGTCATCTGTGATTTTAAAAAGTTAGCTGCCACAAGTTTTTGAAAATGCCAGTGTTTTCAAAGGTAACTACTAAAAATAAAAAATTCAGCCGAACAGAATATGAGGATTTCAAACTATTCAATGTTACAAACAAAAGTGTGAAATACCATTCTTTGGTCTAGATAAGCTGTTCCCTTTACATTAACATTCCAATGGCTTTTTGAAAACTTTAAAATGTTGAAAATTAATAGGCAAAAACAAAATTATATATACATAGGGATGTATCATACAAATGAACCTTTAAAGGAAACTGAAGTCAACTAACAACTGATTAAAGATACCTAGTACCTTTAAAAAGTTAGTGTTGAATGTACAAGTACAGAAATAATGGAACTTTAAAAATTATGACAATTATTATCCAGTCTATAAATATTACATCTTTCTGATTTCCTTGTTCAAGTTCACAAGTAAACATTCATTTTGACATGCTGAAGTTCCCAATGCTGGTGGAGCAATTCCTGTACCTGGACAACTGTAATAATGTTATAATTTGTCTGATGGACAGTTTACATCTGTCACCTCCTGTCTCATGGCTGTAGCTTCATTAACTCCCTCTTGATCCCCTCCATCAGCTCCAAATCCAGATCCTCCAGCACCTTCAGGTCTATCATTATCATCTTCCAAGCCATTATAGAACTCTTCAATCTCACTTTCATCTTCCATGGGTTCTCCTAAACTTGGACTCGGGCATGTGCCACTGTCACTGTTACTGCCACAGGAACTAGAGGATAAGACATCGTCTTCAGAGTCTGAGTACACCTCCGCACCATGGAATATGTAACGATTTGGTGGTACAAAAAGGTACTGATTACC